GCAGTCTCAACTAACACTCTACCATCGCTGTCCTTCACGCATCTCACGTGGTCTAGATCTCGGGCCTTCCTCTCGCGCACCTTAGCAAGCCGGCACAGTGGATTAACACTGCATTTCTCCTCAATATCCTTGTAAAGGCGTTCAAAAGCGGCATTCTTTGCCCTCGTTACCTCTAACTTAGCTTCTTTACGCGCTTTCTTGTACTCCACTCGCAATGCCGCTCTTTCCTCCTCAACATTGCAGCCCATGTACCTCAAATACGCCACCTTCTTAGCTTCCACCTTACTTCGGACGGAATCGCTCCACCACCAATCACCCTGACGCCTACTCCCAGAGCCAGAGCTCACACCTAACACTTCCCTGGCTGATTCCCTGATGCAGTTAGCAGTCCGCACCCACATATCTGTAGCCTCTCCGGTCGATTCCCACCTAACACTTCCCTGGCTGATTCCCTGATGCAGTAAACAAAAATTCTTGTGATTGTTGAAAAAGGAAATGTGGCAAATATTATACTCCCTCTGTCCCATTTTAAATTGCATGTATGCCTTTTTTATCCGTCCAAAATAAGTTGCCTGTTAGTTTTTTTCGTAAACTTTTAAAAATAAAATATCTAATCTACTCCTAAAATAAGTCACTTTTTTTCACCTTATCTTCTCATTCATTATTACCCTTCCTAAAAAGTAATAACAAAGTAATGACAATTTCGGAAAATCAATTTTATTTTTTATTTTCCTTAAATATGCCCTAAAGTCAAAACAGGCAATTTTGGGACGTAGGGAGTATATGTTGTCTCATGTTTCTTAAAAAGAACCAATGCCCGCTATTCTTACACGATTGTATCTATTCCATTTGTGTTATTGCACATGTTTGTAGACTTTATTTTCTATTCTTTAGTTCTAGCATTCATCTTTATTATGCATTTTCTTGTTTTCTTGCATCTCTGAGACGCGAATTTGGCATTTAGAGTCCAAATTTATTACTCCGTATATCATTCAATACTTTTTATTTTTACACACTACTGCATTCTGATTTGGATGGAAACCAAATACTACGAGGGTGTTTGAGAGTGATTAATTTGTAGATAAAGTGATTTCTACAAAAGCTGAAAGCAAAAACACCTCATACCTGCTTCTCCAAAACGGTGTTCTATGTACAAAATAATGGTGGTGAAAAACAGAAGCTGACATGCCAAACAGAGTAAAATCACTTTCACTCAAAACAGAAACTAAATTATTAAAAGCAGTGCATTGCCAAACACCCTCTACATCCCCTTGGTCTTTTTTTATAGGTTCAATTTTGTTATTTTTCAAAGGCAAAAATATTAAATCTAAAAATTCAGAAATGAAATAATATACAAAAAAATGCTCTTCTGTTTCCTTTTTTTTTTGGCTTGTAACAGGGTTAGTTTGCTGCTTGAGTTCTTCTACTTTGTTTTTAGGTGGGGTTATTTTTTATGGGTGATGGTTGAACTTATATTTTTGCTTCCTATTTGATTTCAAATTGTTATATGAAATGGTACCAAAGGTTGGCATGATTTTAAATAGGCTAAAATTATAATGACTTGGGGTGTTGAATTTGAATCAAAGTATAGATCAGTGTGTTTCATAACTGGGAATGAAGTTGAGAAGTATGCATATGATGATGTAACTAAACAGTATGCAAATGTAACTAAATTAGAAGACAGTATGCAAATGTAACTAAGATCAAGAGTCCACCTCAATATTTCTGAAAGTGCATTATCAAGTAACACATGCGAAGCCACAGACGAGGGCATCCGGAAGTTTTAAATAAGTGGGTCTATATATATACATATGTCATATCCTTTATATATATAAAGCGGAGTCGGGACAGCAGGAAGGCGACATTTGGCAAATCTATGGCACGACATTTGGCGGAGCTATAAGACGACATTTGGCAAATCTGATGTGTCACTTTTTTAGAATATTAAATCTGATGTGGGATCTGAGCTGTCACACAGCCTAAGCAACCGAAGGATGAAAAAAAGAAACGCAGATCTCCGTCATCTTCAATTTCTTCCCGAACTCTGAAGAATCGCACCTAAAATGTCAACTTTCCTTTTCTTCCACGGTCAATGGTGATCTCCCTTCCATCTCCCTTCCTTTTCTGAACGAAATCAGACCCACTATACGCTGGTATTATGCAGATTTCATACCATAAATTCTATGATTCCATTTCTTCGATTATTATGGTTGAGTGGTTTAGGCATATCAATGGTAGCCGATTTCTACCAATCACAGGCCAATTCCCAGCGTATGAAGTGATTTTTCGTGTAAAATCAGGTATTCTTCCCTTTGATTGGTTTACCACTGAGCACTAATCTTGGGTAAATTTGCATTAATTTAATTTTTCCAAATTGTTAGGGTTCTCTATTCTTTCCCCAAATTGCTATGCTCTGTATATATATAAAGGATTCTGCGATTTTTTTTACTCCACAGCTTCTCATTCAAACACATATTCCTCTCAAAATCATAGTCCTATATACTCATAGTGTTAATTTTATTTTTCCCATGGCAAAAACTATTCATCCATTGTCAAAGATCAACCCTTCGAGTGAATGCTGGAGGGTTATGGTTCGTGTGGTGAGGCTGTATACGTTACCCACGTTTGGTGATGAGAGAACAACAAACTCGATTGAGATGGTCTTCATGGATGAACATGTAAGTCCTTCTATAACCTCAAAAGTAAAACAAAGTTTATTGAATTCATGGAAAAATAGACAAATAAACTCTAAACTTTTGACTTTGCCTAAGTTTTTTTACTAAAAAAAAATTAGAACTTTATTCATACCGATAACACAAAAGTAAAGCAACAAAAGGATAATATATGAATTCATAAACCCAGGAGTTGATAAGACTTTTTGTAAATTAGTATTCTCCTGCCTTAGTGACCTTCAAACTTGGCCATTTGAATATTATATTTCATTCCCATATTATAATTCATGTTTTCAACTTGGCCATATGCATATTATATTCTTGATTGATAAGTCATTCCATTTGCATATTATATTCAAATTGGCCATTTGCATAACTCAATTTTTTTCACTGCCCTGGTTTGACTTTTTTCCCTTATATAACAAATATATCAAACATGGCCATTTGCGTATTATTGACCTTCATACTTGGCCATTTGCATATTATAATTCATGTTTTTTACTCTACGCATTTATCCTTTTAATTAGATCAAATACATCTTTCATAAATAACATGCAATTGATCACTTCGCTTAAAATATAAAGAAAATAACATGACGAATAACCAGATTTTAACTCCTACTCTCATTATATTACCCTCTACTTCATAATACATTTGCTCACTTACACTGTGCATAAATAAATACCCTATACTTTCTAGGAGCAAATTGTAAGCACTCCTTTTTTATCTTTTTTTATACCAATGACTGCTGATTTTTTATTGATGACATGTAGGGAAGTACAATTCATGCAACAGTTCGAAGAAGTTTGGTTGGAACATTTGGGAATCGGATAAAGGAAGGTTCGGTGTATGTGTTTGCATATTTTGGCATAGGCAACAGTACTGGGTATTATCGCACGTCAAGGCATGAATTCAGGCTAAACTTCCAGCCAAGAACAACAATCACAGAATGTAGTTGCGAGAATATTCCGGTATATGGACTGAAGCTGGTACCTTTTCCTGAGATCTCCAAGGCAGATGCTAATTATCCCTACTTAATTGGTAATGCACACTTACTTTCCCCAACACATTTATTTAAACTTTTAACCAATATATAACTTTGTAATTCATTGCGATTATTTCAGACACCATGGGAACATTAACTTCTGTCGGCAATGAAAAGGAAATAGTTAAAGAGTCAAAGAGAACAAAAATGATTGCGATAACCATAGAGGCAGAAGGGTACTGCATTACTATTTTAAACTCATACCATACACTTATATGTACTTTTGGTTTCGTGTTTATGATTCATTTTTGTATATATTTGACAAAGTAGTATGAAGTTGGATGTGACTCTGTTCGGGGAACATGTTGACATGCTTAAGAGCTTCTTCCAAAAGCAGCCATTACTGGATGCCGTTATTGTAATTCAATACGCCAAAGTGAAGACATTCCAAAGTATTAGTAACATATTTACTTCGCACACATAATTTTCTTAAATTTTTTTATTAAAACACTATTGTTCACTTCAAACTAACACGTAGTGCTTAGCAGGAAAAGTTGTTTTACAAAATGTTATGTACGGTACCCGGCTGCTTTTGAATCCCGATGTAGAAGAAGTCACCGCCTTTAGAAGGAGGTAGGTCTATTCATCTCTAACCCATCGTGTCTTATCAATTTTCTGATTCAAAAAGTAATTTAAACTACTGCCACACGACATTGCTTTAATAAAAAACCTTTCATGCAGGAATTCGGGAGTAGGAATGCAACGTCAACCTCTAAAGTGGACATGTGATGACGCTATAAGTTCACGGGAAACTGAATTTCTGGATACATCCCGATCGATGGCGATATCTCAGCTTAAAGCATGTCTTGAGGTAATTTTTTCATTCAATAGCTTTTAGGGCATTAAATAATGTTGTATATAAAGGACATAGAAATCAATAATTATTATGTGGTTGTATATAGATGATGTTATTAGTGTTCAATAAAACTTTTTTTTTAATTTGAAACAAGATGGTTCATATGTAGTGTATGGGACCATTGTGGCAGTCAACAATAGCGGAGATTGGTGGTATTTAGCTTGCAAGTGTAATAGAGCTGTGAAACCGGATGGCGCTATGTATTATTGTGTGAATTGCATGTGCCGTGTTCTCAATGTCACTCCACGGTTAGGATTATAATCTCTTCACAAGTTCTATTAATTTCTCACCTGTGTATAACTTTTGACTAATGTGAAAACTGTTTTTTTATAGATATTTAATCAAGCTCACCGTCGAAGATGATTCCGGCCAGACCACCTTTGTTTTATTTGATCGTGAGGCAACCTCGATTCTAAACACTTCCTGTGTCCTTTTGCTCGAAAAAGCTGATTCTGTAAGTTCTCATATGTTCTTATACCGTTGTAAGATCTCATTGTACACATATTTTGGGCTCATGAAAAGTGACTGTTTTTTTCCACTGAAATATGTAATCCTTTATATATATCACACCATTACACATGGTGTATGGAAACTGATCAATCCATCACTTTCTTCAGTGTTTATTTAAACATACCATCACTTTCATTAATGTATGTGTGTATGTTATCAAACACATCCTTAATCAGGAAGGAAACTCTGAAAGTCCAAAAGAATTTGCTGATCATCTACTCGGGAAGACATTTCTTTTCAAGGTCGAGGTCCGATCCATGTTTAGGAGTCGTCACGATCAGTCTTTTAGGGTGTCAAAGATATTTCATGATTCGGGAACAATGAATAAATATTTAGAATCTATTCGTGACTTCAATGTCAAACCCAATGTTGAGAGCAGTGAAAAGACTTACTCCGTAGAAGAAGATTTTCTAAAGAACACGGAAGCACAAACAATCGAGGCATTAAAGGATTGTGCTAAGGTTTGTTATGTCCACTTCAACGGCTGTATTTTCCTTTGATAATTCAAACCAATACATGTAATACATTTCTTATTATCTGTGTTTAGGATGGTGAATATGCAGTATATGGAACAATCAAAGGTATTGATTGTGGTCCTGATTGGTTTATAGCGACATGTAGATGTGGCTCGGAGGTGATGCCGCGGAATGGCACTTAATATTGCAATGAGTGTAATAAGCGCGTTGTACATTTGATTCCAAGGTTTTTTCCTAATTACATCTCAGCTGATTTCATATTATATTAACAACTTTAATTAATCAAGTGTATCATTCACTAATGAAAAACAGGTATCGAATTAAGGCTAGGGTAATTGACACCACAGACAGTGCCACTTTTGTCATTTTTGAAGATATTGGAAGTCTCCTGCTACAAAAATCGTGTTCAGAGATGATGAAATATTGTGAGGTATTCATATCTGATGATAATACACTGTGAACCCATTAATGTGTGGATTTATTGAGTTACGACCGATGTGTTGTCTTTTCCACCACCACGACATTGCTTCTGCATTTCTCCACATTGACCAATCTGATTTCCTGCATTGGCTAGACAGAACATGGCATAATGTTAGATAGAACATGGCATAATGTTAGATAGAACATGGCATAATGTTAGACATACCAATTGGGGATAGATCAACAAACCTGTCAGTGGAGCAAAAAATAAACACTGAAATTAGAATGTGTTTTGAAAAAATGATGTTTGGATATGAGTTCCAAGATTTCAATCTTAACTACCTGCAATCGTTGAAGAAACCCCATGAATACATGAATGGATAACTAACTTGTGTCACACGTATCACTCTTTTACAATCCTGAAAAAATAGGATCATATTTCAAAAATATAGGCTATTACTTAGAGTCTGATGTCGTGACACGATTTGAAATTTAAAACAAATGTGATTGTACACACAAATGAATAAATAAGCGATATATTCACAAAAATGAAACTGAACATGAAAAAAATAAGCCAATAATCACATGACTTGATTATCCTTCATATGTGAAAATGAAATACTTCAATGTGATAAGGAAGGCGACACTACACGTTTGTACATTTGTTGTGTAGATCTTTGATAGTATTCACTGATTTTCTGTTGAAAATGTCACCCAGAATGTGCCAGGTGGAGAAATCCAACCAAATGCTTTTCAACGATTCTTGATTGATAAGTCATTCCTTTTCAAAGTTGAAGTGAAGACTGAGCGCTTCAATGAATTTGAGCCTACTTACCATGTGATCGACATCTGTCTCAATCAACAAATCATTTCAAAATACAAGGATGTGAATTCAATTTTCTTCACTGCCCATGTTTGACTTTATTCTCTTATATATCAAATGCATAATGACTATCTATTCAACTGTTAAGTAAACTCTATTTGGCATGATAATTCCATGACATGTCTTTGGTATAGACTGATGTGACTCTCGGATTTTCAACTGCTGAAAAAACATCAACATGTTGCATCTCTATTGGTGAAACTTCGTCATGCGCAAAGGTTAAACTTCACGTAGTATCTTACTTTTCTTTTATGTATAGTAAATGACAATCTTCAAAAACGAGACGTTAATTGTCAGACACATTAATTGTCTTGCAGAATTTGATAAGTGAATTCGTGGAATCTGATGACAATCAAATGACAACGCTCTGTGATAATATGTTGACTTTTACACCAGTGAAGAGAATGCAACACAAGGAGTCTAAGAATGAAGCTGGTGATGAATCAGTAAAGAAGTTGAAGACTGTTAAAATAGAAAAAAATTAATATTAGGCTCCCGTTTGGTCCTTAGTTTCCTTTGTTTTTATTCTATTTGAGTCTTAGACAATTTATTTGCTTACTTCAGGTGAGGATGATGCAATTGTTCTTGCATTATACTTTCGTTATTTTTTTTAGTTCTGGTATTAGACAGTTTATTGTAACAATTTCATTATTTAAGAACTCATATCGTTTGTTTCGTTTAATAAAACAAATCAGGACCTGATTTTTTTGGATGAAGCATGATGGATATTCCTCAGTTTGATGAATTTACCAGGAAGCCTTGCATTATATGGAAGCACCTGTATTTGTGTTGATTACTTTTACATTATATTACTTTTATTCATGTAGATTACTTTTATTAACTCAATTAATATTGTTCTACTCCGTCAATGAAATATGTTCTCATTTGGCTTTTAACGGCCTTAAAGTAAACCCTTTGACAAGTAATATCTATATAGTTCTTTTATTTAAAAAACATCTATCGTCCTAAATTTTTGTGAACGTCATAAAAGGCTTGAGAAACACACAAAATATACTACATCCGTTCCACTTTAATTCACCTATTTGAATTCATAATTAAGAAAGGATTTTTTCATATAACATATTTCAGAATGAGAGTGGAATAAAAAAAAATTTCACATAATAAAAAACTTCCTCAAAATTTTCATAAAACAAAAAATGACATTACTATTTTATTTTATCGAACGAGTAACAAAAAAATGAAAATAAATTAATGACTTTGACCCATCAAAAAGTAAACAAGCAACTTAATTAAGGATGGAGTAAATTTAATAATCTACATGTGATAAACTGCGTCTGAAGACAATTTGTGAATTACCATTCCAACAACTCTGTTTCAATAAAAAAATGATTGTTTAATATTTAAAATCTTCAAAAATGACTTGGAGTTAAAATCGCTTACATTTTTTTCAATGCCAAAATTCATACGTAAATGTAAAAAAAAACAAAAACCACTGTACGTTTCCATGATGATATGGTAATTTCTTAATTTTATATTTTCATTCTTTTTCATTTATAAACAAATCATTTATCAAGGGAGATGCTAATACACTTTTTCCATCTTTTCCATTGAAATGCATATTCACGGATGGATGAGGCTCCGTTAATTTGTGGTGGACTAGAGCTAAAATGTGATGATTTAATCTCATCCATTGATTTAAAAAATTAACACATCCAAGGGCTTAGATTTAATATGTCATACAATGACATTTAGTCTTAATGTCAGCTGAACCCAGCCGATTTACATAATATAAAATAAAAGTTCCTGAAATTAAATAAAAAAGGAAACCCTAAAAAACAATATGCCCAAAATGCTTAATAAAACCCCCAAATTCTACAAGCCCACGAACATAGCTTCAGCACGAAAAATATATTTAGATTTCATCCCTCAACATTTGTTTCAAAAGCATCCCCACAAAAAATTAATAAAAATACATGAGTACCCAAAAGTTATCGACCAGTTAACTAGTAAATCTATGTTTGGACCAGTTTGAACTCATAGATTTTGAGCTTGAGCTCTTCAATTTATTCTCATTACTTACTAGCTTATTTTTATTCAAACCAGATCATACCTGATGAGATCAAAAATAATTTTAAAAATAAGTACAATCAGATCATAATAGATCATATCAAATTAGAATTTATTTAATTTAGATAATATCAAATTATATTAGAAAGATTTTTAATTATAATTATGATAAAATCAGACTAGATTTAATTGAATCAAAATTTATTTCAATTAGATTAGTAAACAAACTCTTTGTCTTCTTATCTTTCTTCCGTCATCTATCGGCTTCCTTTTCTCGAGATTTCCATCTTCCACTTCAACTGTTGCAACCTGCAGTAGGTTTCGTCAGTACCTAAAAACCAAGTCCAAACCCGCATTCCAGATATCCATAACCCATTTCTGTGTTTTTCACATTTTTAAAGAAAATCCACATCTCTTCCCCTCAATCACTCCTTCTCCAGCTACTACGAGCTATCTTTATGATGGATTCCCAAGATTCCCACCATTCCCAGGCTCAATTCCACCACGGGCAACCACCGCAACCCGGCCCGAACATGATGGCGGCGCCACCGCATCAGTCGAGCTCCTACGGCATCCCCAACAATGCCATGATGCAACAATCCCACCAATCTCTGCAGCAGCAGCAACAACAACAAAACCCTCGCTTCCCTTTCAATTCCATCATGGGCGGGGCGGGTTCGGGTCAGCCGCCGGCGGGGGTGGATTATCCCGACGGATCTTCGCCGAGGACTTCTGGGTTCGGCATTGAGCCCACCAAGAAGAAGAGAGGACGCCCCAGGAAGTACTCCCCTGATGGCGGCATTGCTCTGGGCCTCACTCCCACACCCGTCTCTCCGATTTCTTCAATGGCCGGCCATGGAGATTCCGGCGGTGGGTCCGGGACCAACAACTCTGCCCAGAATCACTCATCTGAGAATCAGCCTAAGAAGGCCCGTGGGAGGCCTCCAGGCCCTGGAAAGAGACAAATGGACGCTTTTGGTATATCCCTAATTTTTATTGTTCTTATCTTTCTTCCGGAAAGCTAACTCTTAGGCTACATGAAATTATATTTTCACAGATGTACTTACACTTTCCAAGTCATTTTATTTCTATGGTTTTTTTTATTTTATAATCCTGCCAATTTTCCTACCAATACTTAGCAAGAGGACTAGGGAGACTTTCATTCTATGTATCACTGTTTAAATAATCTTTTTTATTTTGTTTTTGATATTCTTGGTTGATAGGGTCTACTGGAATTGGTTTCACACCCCATGTAATCACTGTCCAAGCTGGAGAGGTGACATTTTTCTCTGTGACAGTATATTTATCATGTGACTTGCTAGCTTGCTATATTTGTTTAGTTTTGCTTCTGATTGATAGGTTTTTTTCAGTAATGATTTGTTTCCATATTTGTTTAAAGATTCCTTCTTTTGTAGGCAGTAAAATCTACTCAAGTTTTAGTTCTTGCATGTTGCATGCCCTTCTAGTTTTCTAGTTTGACTTGAGGAGTGAAGGCCATTCATTTATGAGTTATGACCCTCATGGGGAAAGAAAAGGGACGTCAAATGAAAGGGTTAGATGATAAATAGAATAAATTTCCAATGAATGGAATGCATTCTGTAATATGCTTATTTTTTGACCATGAGAATTATGCGTGTCTTACAATATGTTTCTTGGTTGAAGGGTTTGGGAAGAGGATTTTGTCATGCCTCATACAATATCATGTCACAGATTCTTGGAATCTTGCTATGACTTTTTAGAAGCTAAGGAATCTTGACTAATGTGTTCTTTTTGAATAAAGCTAGGGATACACTATTGGGTACACCAAAATGGTGTATCCTATTTGTACACGAGACAAACACAGACATATGTCTGTGAATTCTTTTTAAAAGCTGACTTCATTTGGTGGCAGGGGCTTAAGAGAGTTTTGGGAACTTTTTAAAACTGAAGATTGAAAATTGGAAAATATCCTTTTTAATTTCAAAATATGGAAATAAGAAACTAATTTTCAAAGTTTTGTTTTTTCCCCTATCTTGGAGAATAATAATCTGCTTCTCATAATTGGGTGATACTTTTTTTGTTTGTCTCTCTATTGCTCCATGGAGGATGAAACCCTAAGTCTCTCCACTATACATGAAGCTCTTTTATCATTTTAGAGCTTTGCCCGCGGATGATGGAGCCTTGTATTTAGACAATCACCCTGAAGGACAGAGGATCCATCCTCCATTGATGAGATGACGTTAAAAAAATACATTTTCCAGTGGTGAATTGCTTAACTTATTTTTGAGATGATAATTATGTGTTAAGTTAATACAGAGTGCTATACTTCAAAATTTTATGATTTCAAATGGATTTTAAAAGATGCCATTTTTCTATTTGAAACTGAAAATGGAAGATAGAAATACTGCATATACGGCATTATTGTTAACATAGTTGTCTTGAAAGATCAGTATCTTTTTTATTTAGGAACTTTGAATTTGAATATTTTTTATTCGTTGACTTTGTTACTAAATTGATCTCCAATAAGTTCTTTCATTGATACCTTCTTTTTCAAAACCTGATGTATGTTTTTCTGCACAACCAAAGTCTAATATTTGTGCAAGTTCTCCATCGTATTACAGTAATATTTTTTTCAGAAAATGAATTATGCTACATAGCCCCTCTACTTATAAAGTTCAAATAGGGCCTTGAGGAACCACTCTGAAATGTTTGTAGTATATCTTGTAAGTGTTCTAAAAGGCTATAGGTGGGCCGAAGACAAGGGCTAGCACCTAGGGGTCTTGAGGGTTATGGCTATTAACTGAAGCTTTGACGGGGCTTAAAAATGCCATTTTTTAAAAAAATTGCATCTTTTTGTTTTCTATCCTATATGGTACTATCTCCTTTATTTTCTAAGATTTATAACTTCCTTTACCTTTAGTACTTCACCTTCCATAAATCTTTTTATAATTGTTTAGAATGAAATTATGAAACTGAGGAATTGGCGCACTAAGAAGTTGAATGTCTCTTCGAAATAGTCTCTCTATAGCTAGGTTAGACTGTTAGAGGTAAGGAGTGCAACAGTGCATACTTCTACTCTGACCCCAGCCTGGTTGGATCACTGACTAGGTTGTTGATGAATTATTATTTCCTCTTAACTCTCGTATAACACATTTTTTTTTATACTTGAGTTAAAATGTATATGAAGTATTTGTTTTAAATTCCATGATAAAGTTCACATCATAAAGATTACTGAGTAAGAAATGACATTTATTAAAAAGATCAATTAATCTATCAATACTCAAGTATTGATACAACAGCTATATAAAGTCTAATTTTTATGCATACACTCCCTCCGTCCCATGCCAAAGGGAACATAAGGGCATAAGGCTTTCTGTGAAATTAAGAAAATTTTTAGAAGTGATTGAAAAGGTAGGTAGAGAATTTATATGTGATTGAAAAGATAGAAAAAATGATTGAAAAAGTATGGGTGTTATTTCTAAATTTGGGGTGGGACAACAAAAAAGGTAGTTTGTGCCCTTTGGCACGGGACAGAGGGAGTAATAGAAACCAATGTTTTCATCTACAGTTTTTAAATCAATTAAACTTAAATATTTGGGTACCCTAAAAACAAAGTGCAATGTAGTGGTAAAACACTTCATCTTGTGATATGTCATTGGTTTTAGGCATGTGAAAGTGATGAACAACTCTTGATCATCTTTCACTCTATTTCCTCAAATTTTTTCACTGATTTGGAAACAGTCTTATTTGTGTTTTTTTTTAGTTTAATGCTTTTACTTTTTTGTGGGGTTTTTGTTTGTGAATAAAAGTTAATGGATTTTTTTTGTTTGAGTATTTCAGTTTTATTATTTAAAAAATTATCGTTAAGTTTTTTTTACATTTTTAATACATTTTAGTCTTTCAAGTCTTGGTGGGACTCAACTGGGTTGTTGTTGTTGTTGTTGGTGGTGTCTTCCAAATCTTGTTTTTTGGACAATTTTCAATTAAATTTTTAAAATACTTTATGCAATATATTAAGTTAAATGTAGTTGGCCATCATATTTTTTTATTCATCTCAGAACAGATGGAGGAAAACAATATCAAAGAGAACTACGATCCATCTAAAGATCCCTAACAAAAAGGCTGACTACAACGATCCCTGGTGAGAATATGGCGTTTGGCCTGGTTTGGTCAAAAAAAGGTTGTGGAGCATTCAGTATAAATAAATATACAACAACAACACAGTATAATCCCAACTCTGTTGGGGTCTTACCTTGGGGTGGAGTGGGGGAAAGATGTACACACTACACAGTTATACCTTAAAAAACAAAGAGCCTATTTCTGTTAGACCCCAGATGCATTGTTGCATTTATTGCCGAAAACTTCATAGAAAGGAAGAAGCAAGGGAAGTTTAATGTGTCATTTTAATTTCGTCCATTATGTGCCTTAAGCTAACACATTTTCAATAGTCACTCATTTAGCTTCATTGGCAAAAGACGGGTAAAAAAAATATATTTATATTTATTTTTAGAAGAATTTAATACTAATTATGACTTGTCGACTAATAATTGATTTGATGGCCGAGTGGTCTTCTAGTAGATTCTTCAACAACTTGACGTGTCGACATGACAGCCATGTTTTAATTTCGACTGATCTCAATAACAGAATGTGATAAAATGTGTAACATTAGTGGAAACTAAAAGGAGTGAGCTTATATCTGTTGATTGTCATTTACAAAGGTTCTCTATAATGTATTTATGTGTTTGGGGAGTGTCAAACACAGTGAGTGTCAAAGTTTCTGGTGTTGATTAATTACTCTTTGGTCCTTCGTTATGGATTGACACCGATTATCTATCTATTTCAGGATGTAGCTAAAAAGATAACGACTTTCTCACAGCAAGGACCAAGAACAGTATGCATTCTTTCTGCAAGTGGGTCTATATGCAATGTTACCCTTCGCCAACCTGCCACTTGTGGAGGCACTGTGACATTAGAGGTCTGTTTGTCTTCTTTTAAGTCTCTATGGACCTTTTTGTATGCTTAATAATAATCTATAGTCATAGGCTCGTAAAATGTTTACTTTATACTTCCATCCCTTTAATCTTTTATTTAGATATTAGCTTCCGCCAATTAGACTTGAATACCTAAGAGATGCTCATGTCTGAGCAAGACCCTCTACTCACCACCCGGATTCGATTCCCAGTGGAGGATTGGGCATTTCAGAAGGGATTTCTAAGGGAGTAGTATTGGGCCATTAATGGACTGGGTTTAGACTAGGCTTAGTGATCAAAAGATTAACGGGCCTCGGGCCCTGGGCTATTGCGGGTCGTACTTCAAAAAGAAGTCTTTAACATTTGGCCTTGGTTTTAATCCCATCTTCTCCTCTGTTTCTACCATTCCTTAAACACAGGGCCGGTTTGAAATCATAACATTGTCGGGTTCATTCTCTCCATCAGAAGGCAATGTCAGCCGAACATGCGGGTTGAGCGTGTCGCTGGCTGGGGCAGATGGCAAAGTTGTTGGTGGTGGCATTGCAGGAATGCTTACAGCAGCTGGGCCAGTACAGGTAAATCATGTCTCGTCTAGGCCCTTTTACTTAGAGCTTGTTCTGTTCGTCTGATCTAATTGGATCTGATCTAGTTTTATTAAAGGTCAGGTCTTATCTGATCTGATTGTAGTTATATTTAAAGCACTCTAATCTGATCTAGTTTGATTTGATTCCAATAAGAGTAAGTAATAAGAGATAAGAATAATTTGAAGAGAACAAGCTCTCTCTCTCTCTCTCTGTTGGATCTGTTGAGTTAAGAAAAGTGCTCATTCCGTGTTTAAGGTCATTGTGGGAAGCTTCATTGCTGATGGTAAAAAGCCAAAGTACAAGCGATCCTCTTTGTCTTCCACGCCGCCATCATCAAATATAATGGGCGGCGGTTGTGGTGGTCCCCCCTTAGCGATGGGGGCAAGTCCTCCTTCTGAGGATGATGGTTCAAGTGAGTCTTCTTCTGATGAGAATGGCGGCAGCCCTCTTAACCACCACGGGCCGCCATCCTATGGTAATAATCCCACCCAACCGGTCCAAACCATGCCCGTGTATGGAAATATGAGCTGGCACAACTCTACCATGTAGACGCGGGCGCTTGTTGATTCTCTCTTCAGCGCACGGCTAATGCTTTTAATTATTATTTTTTCCTTTTCTTTTTTTTGGGTTCTTAGTTTGATTGGTAAAATGATGAGTACTTTATAATGAGGCTTGTGAGACCATGTATGCTGGTGGTATTTAACAAGTGTTAGTTGTCTGTATTAGGGGATCTTCAATCATCAACTGACATTTATGCCCTTCATTACCAAATTTAACTCCGAAATCGCTTTATGTACGCTGCCCTTGTGTATGACTAGCTGTATAATACACATCCACTGCCAATACAAACAGGTTTTTTTTGTTACCACAAACAACTGTTGTCTGTCCGAGAACAAACAAAAACCTGTTTGTGTGCATCAAAGAGAGTGGTGTGTAACTTGGTGTGCACACGAGTGGTGTACATATGAAGCACAGCGGGTTTAACATAAATTATGTTGACAGCAAGAGGAAAATATGGACACCATGAGTTTATGTTGAGATTCTTCTACCTGTAATTTGCTGCTCTTTCTCTGCTGTAATATGTGAGTATTCATTGATGGATTCTGGTGGTATAGTGGAATGGGTCTTTAAACATTTCTTTGATGGATGCTGAAGTGCGATCATTTGGTATTGAACAGAAAGTACCACCTAAAAGTTTTTTGTTTGATTGTTCTAAGTTATGAGTTTTATGTGCTTATTTTGCAAATTGGTTGTTTAATCAAAAGTGTTTGGTATTCCTTTCATTTTGTAAAAGAAACGAACCGAGTTGAGTATTATGAAATTTTGATCGTATTTGAAAAATGATACTCCCTCCGTCCTAAATTAAATTGTTTAATTATATTCCCAGGGTTGAATTTCATTCATTTCTTTGTCCTATTTTTGTTATTTATGTTATAAAATAATATAGTCATGTCACTACTAGTTTTAAAGTTTTTTATGTAACTTTTAAATATGTATTTTTATAATTTTACACCGTTTTTCATATTAAACGATTTGAAAATAACTTTAGCCAGACATCGTAAATCAAAACATGCGATGTAAATTGGGACAAAGACTACAATAATTCATGTTCATATCTATTTTTTGTTCAAATAATTATTACTATTCATATTTCATTTGATATTAAATTCTCATATTCGATTTGTATTCAAATTCTATTATAGAAAATTTTTTAGTATTTTATGTTTTATAGCTTTAATTTTTTAAAACCGTAGCGTTTGAGAGTACAAGAAAACTACATGGTTGCTGATCGAAGTACTCCTAAAAAAAGGAAATGAGCGAGGGGTACTGCTCTAGTAGTGAACTAGTGATTAAGTTTTATAGAGTATGAACTTATAGTATTAGGTCTTCTTATCAATTGTACTTCATATTTCAATTCATATACATTATTTAAGTATTTCTTTTTCTATGTGACACCTAAAAGCTAAATATACTATCCAGTATCAACGAGGTATTGCACTAGATACTAAAAACAAACTACGAAGTACTCTATATATTATGTTTTCTATTTAATATGAACCCATATAAACTTTTATATTTAAAATTGAATATATTCTTTAAAATATAGAATCGAATTCATATAGGGTAAAATGGTGACATTCGGCAGAAGGAGGAGGGGCCAGGAAACTTCCACCGCCCCGTTCATGCCTGGGACCTCCTACTGTTGCTTCTGGGAAGAAGCTTGGGACTTCGGATTGGAGTTTGAGCTCGCGGCGGACTTGGTGGCGGAAGAAGCATTTCGTTTATTCCCATCTCTAAACTATGACAGAATCCCCATGGTGCATGACTGCTTGCTCATTATGTTAGGTGAAAGAGGAAAAAATGGTCAATCCAAGAAAATAATGAATGAATCAAAGAAAAATTGAAAAGAGCAAGTTTGATGTGTTCAGACTCTCAACGAGAACAACATTGATAGAATCTTGTGTCTAGGATACCTAGACCAAGACTCTGTTGTTGTATAAAGAGAAATAAAGAAAAATAAAGTTGTTCTTCCAAAATCCTAAAATTTACTATGTCCATAAAATAGGGATGAATCTTAGAACCACGTAAGAATTTGCCAGATGCATAGATGTGGGGGAAGAGTGAAGAAGTGTGTACTAATCTCACCCCCTCTCTATAGAAAGAGAGGTATAAATAAGAGAAGAGTAAGGTTAGGGTTTAGGCCCAAACCATATACAATAACTAATGTGCTAGCCTAACAAACTGAGTTGCTCAAATAACCAACCAGTACAGGACTAGCGGGTTGGTCCAACAGATTGGACCGCCCTAACTAACACTATGCAATGATTGAATACCCCCATGTCTATGGTATCCATGTAACATCCTTATCCGTCCTGGTCTATAGCCTCTTTCAAACTAAAGTATTAACTTGGTATTCATAAACATTCAAAATATTTCAAACATTTAAATTCATTATAAATAGTATTCATAACATAAACAGTAATAATATAGGGTTTTCAATATTGCGGAAGCTTAACAATTCAATATCACAAAATATAATTAAAACTATCACATCCATTACAACTATCTCGCCTCTGCCTGCAACCAAGATTTGGTCACACCATTCTTTTTATTTACATGTGTGTAGCAAACAAAACATACTACACGCTCAGCGTTGAAGCTGACTAAGGATATGTAATGCATCGAACATCCACATAAATTGAATCTCAATTTATAATAAAATCATTTGATATCATGCACACATTATTCATGATTTTGATAATGTTTAGTTCATGTCAAATTACATGTCGTTCAATTCATATATTCAACATTCATTATTTCGACAATGCTCTTAAATTATTTTTAATCTAAGCCCAAATGGTAGAAATGCTCTTAAACTATTCTTAGTCTAAGGCCAAATCCATATTTTCATATTGTTAATATTGCTAGTTTATGGCTATTTCATATTATTAACCAAACACATAAACTATGGCTAGTTTAGGGCTATTTCATATTCTTAACCAGACTTATAAACTATGGTTAGTTTAAGCCATTTTATTCGAATAACCAAACTCTGAAACTGTAATTAGTTTAAGGCAATTAATAACCATACTCTTAAACGACAATTAGTTTAAGGCAAATATTCCTAGACTCTTAAACTGTAGTTAGTTTAAGGAAACAATAGAACAACAAACTAATCATCTTTGGGTCAGGTCGTATTCCCAAATGAGTGATCCTCTAGTTTGGTCTATGACTCCCATTCAACTCTCTGCTCAAAACAGAGAGTACATCAAGAAGGTCTTCGAAATTTGTAAATACCCAAGCTAAACACATGAGACTTATACAACAAAGAAGCATTTAAATTTTTAGCCCACAATTAACCTACTTGACTAATAGGTGGAAACAAGGGGAACTGAAACAGCTCAACAAAGCACTCCTCAATATCATTCCAGGAATCATAACCCATGACATATGGAAAGAAAGAAATAGGAGGATTTACGAGGAAGAAGAACACACCTTGACACAGACAATTACAATCATCACAAAATAGATCTACGAATGGATTTTCATCCACCATAAAGGAAAAACAACACCGGATATCAGAATTTATGACAGATTACCTTCAATTAGGATGGGCGTAATCACTGTACATCGATGGGTATTCCTAGCCACTGGCGTAACACTTACAACGGACGCGGCAATCAGGGAGGGAAGATCAGCTCGAGCCAGCATCCTCCGCACAAGGCATGGCCAATTTCTCATTGCTTGGACCTATCCTCTACAACCAAACCTCCCACCAGCTGAGACAGAAATGGAGGCAGCATACGAAGGAGTACGTAGAAGCTTGTTTCTTAACTGCCCAGTCAATCTCTATATTGACTCCAAAATTTGTGCAGACATTTTAACAAAGTGCTCCAACAATGATTTCTTCACAAGGATGACAAGAGAAATGATAAATCGGTCCGGGGGACGGGTCAATCATATCTTTCGAGAAGCTAATACGGTGGCACATCATCTGGCACAACAAGCTTTGCAAGAGAATACCTTTAGTAATTTTCATTCATTAGTTTCACTCCCAAAACGCTCTAGGGGAGCCATTGTATGTGATGTAACAACTTCCTTTATTCGTATGAAATAAAATTTTTCATATATATATATATATATATATATATATATATATATATATATATATATATATATATATAATATAGACACACGCACCACTCGGGTCCCCCTATAGAGATGGTCACAGGGTTGATTGGCGAACCACATCACACGGGTTCGATCACTAGAAGATGTAAATTTGGAGCGTGCTGGCATGGGAGTAGCAAAAATGATGGGCGACCCGCTAGGAAATAGATTTGGGCTTATGGGGCTGGACTTTAAATTGGGCTTACTTTGGGCTTTCTATATTGGGCTATCTACCTCGGTTGTTAACAGGCCCCGGGGTAGTCACGAGGTTAAGGATGCCTGTGATATATATATATATATATATATATATATATATATATATAGACACACACACACACAAGTCTCATTCTAATCTGAGGTCTATCTTAGAGATCTTCTAGATAGTCGTAACGATACACATTATTCTCTTATTCATCAATCTATTTACTTTGAATCATGGTTCACTACTCCATAATCATCATTCAAATCACGATAATCAAATGAACATATTTAGTCACAATTTATTCTTACGACTTATTTATTCATAACAATATTTTGATATTTCGTCAGAATAAGATCGTTATCATTTTGCGATCATAATCACACAGGCATCCTTTTAGTTATCGTAATCAATTATTATCAATAACATTTCATTATGATATTTTCATCGTTAAATCAGAGCTCATTCATCATATTCAACAATCAACAATAATCATTGTAATATTTCATATCAAGTAGCGGACTAGCTTCGGGCATTAACACTTTAGCTTACTGTCATGCATCACACAAGCTCATTTGATTTATCAAAACATCATATTTATTTCTAGAAATCATTTTCATATTCATCATACTTGATTGAAATAAAAATAGATTTAATAGTTCAAAAATCGGGTTTATGGGAAAAAGTTTGGGTTCACGATAGTACCCGTTACGGTACCTCGTTACCGTCCATAGCCAACCACCGCTAGAGGAGCAACAACCGACGGTATAGCCTACCATGGCGGCAGTACATGGGTACCGTCCGGACAGTAGCGTGATATCGTTCTGCACGTAGTTTAAACAGTGTCATCTTCAAACTCGAGCTAATTTTCGGAAATTTCATTTTAAGTCACCAAACTTTAAATAAACTATATAGAAATTTTTTCCAAGGTTCATAGATAATTTTGGTATCATTAATTTGTAATTTTAACAATAATTTCAAGGTTTATGATTCTTGGTTCTCCAAGCATGTCAAACACAAAACTCAACCAAAAAACCGTTTATGAATGTAGAAACGATCTGTACAAACATTCTTATCACTAGATATATTTAAGGGCTTACCTCAATCTTAAACGGACGTTTTGGAAATTTTCTAGCAAAATTTCCGGCGAGGTTCGTGGCTAGCTTTGGCGACCTCTCACTCTATAGAAAGCACCACAACATTCCTCGCACTCTCAGAAACATAATGGGAGAAAGAATTGTGAAGATTTGAAGGAGTTGAGTATGCCTTATATAGGAGGAGCTTGGAAACGAGGTCAATGGTTGCTTCGTAGGAGCATATTCGCGATCGATAGTGGAGAAGGAGGCACCCTTTACACATCTTCTCTGATTCGGACTAATTTTGGTCCTAGTCGGGGTACACTTTTTGGTCCAACTTTCTCCAAATTAAATTCCGTTTGCACCGTTACAATCAGACAGTCAAACTCTATTTAACGATATAGTTTTTTATATTTATTTGTAATACTTTTTCTAGCATCATATTTTTGGGTGTTTGACTTTGACAGAGTCAAAATTGGTTTAATAAATCTTTTATTCAAAAGATTCTCATATTAAATTCATACGGAGTATTATTTAATCTAATGATTTATTTTAATAAATCACCTCAATAGTTCTCACCAATTCCTAATTCTTTATTTATTCTTAATTTGGGTCTGTAGTGTGATTATCAATCAAGATCACAAAAATAGTCAACATATTATATTTATCTCTATGAGACTTATCACGATTGTGATATTCGATATCAAATATATTTCATTTCGGTCAAAAGCCTAACAATAATTTATTTTAATCAGAAAAAGTTTGTTTAATTGAATAGTAATTCAATAATAATTTAATGGTACGTTTTGGGGCGTGACAATCCATTTCTTTAAGTGAAAAAATATGGAGCAATAGATTTGTAGATGAAACAAATTGCACCTAGAATTCAAATTTTCTTTTTTATAAAGACATCAACTAATAAACTATTAGGTTTGACTGAATTTGAGTTTAATTTGTTTTGAATTTGATCAATATCGCACCTAATCGGTTTCAGCTCTAATCGATTTCATGTTTAACAATTTGGACTTAATCAGATTCAATTTGAATCATTTTTGGACACATTCGATTTGATTTCAATTTGGATCATTTCAAGTGTTTGGTTGTAATTCGTTTCTTTAGTTTTTGGGTCATTTTGAACTCAATTTTGAGTTGTTCGATTCGAGTTATTGGGTACGAGTCTACTATACCAAGTCTAGTATGAACCATCAATTCTTCGAATGAAACATCGTATGGTCATGCTGTGACATTAGATGCCAATGTCATTTGAATAGTTGTGTCTTATAAATTGGTGACAACCAACAAGTGCTTTTTGTGGCTGTGAAAAAATCAAAATGGTCGAACATTTTTATCACACAGTCTTTAATAAATACTCCATAATAATTATATATGTGCTACTTTATAATAAGATTTATTTTTTCGATAGTTCTCTCTAAAAAAACTCAGCAATATGGCTATTAGATGAAGAATTTCAAAAGAATTTTACATAAATTAAGAGTTTTATCATAATGGTCCTTTGTTAGTAAAAACTGTATTCAATTCAAATTTTAAAAGATCTTAACAAAGTCTTAATAATTATTAGATTATGTAAAATCAATGTGTTGATTTAATTTTATTAAATTTGTATATATTTTAAGGGCAAGGTTCCCTTGACATTGGAAATCAATGTCATGGGATGATCTGGGGGCGCTCCGGTGTCCCGTTCGTCAAATTGACGGTTCCTACCTTCCTGATAACCCCCCCACCCCGACTCGAAGACACCCCTGTCAATTTTACGAACGGGGATTGACTCTGATATAAAATTAAAACAAGCTTTTGTGAATTTTACCCCCTGTGCTATAGAATTAAAACAAGGGATTGACTCCAGTCAGATGACACATTACGGTGAGATGACATACTACGGTTAGATGATGCAAAACTCACCACTGGTCACTGCAAAGCTCACCAAAGACAACTACAAAGCTCATCACTGACCATTGCAAAGTTCACCATATTTTTTTAATACTTTGAATTTTTTTTTTGAAAAAATAAAATCAAAGGAAGAGGTACTAACTAGATTTTGACCATTGACCGCCGTCTACCACAGTCGGTCGCCGGAAGCCACTGCCGCCGGCCGCCGCCTATCACCGCCGCTGACCGGTGGTTGACCGTTGTTGCTATTTTATGTTTAATTAATTTTTTAATTTTCAAAATTTTAAAAAAGGTGAGTTTTTGTGTTCAAAGTGGTGAACTTTGCTTTATTTCCATGTGAGCTTTGCATTGTTCATTGATGAGCTTTGTAGTGTAGTGTGGGGAGCTTGGCGTCATCTCACCGTAGCATGTCATCTAACTAGAGTCAAAAATTACATTAAACAAAAAGGTTTTAAAAACACTCGAATAAAAAAGAACCATTTAGTGAAAATCGAAACAAATCATTTTCTAAAATGAAAAATATTATAGTGACATGCGATATATTTCATAAAAAATCTAAAAAAAAAATGATCACATTTATTTTTCAACTAAACTTGTTCAAAAAAGTAAAATAAAATAGAACTATAGTTGCTTTTATTTTCAAATACTAATTCAAAAAAAAAAACAAATGAGGTAAAATTTATCAAATGCATTTTACAGCCAAAGTTCATCGGACATTACATGAATTTATTTTTAGAAAGTAAAAAAGAAATTGTCACGTACTCCTTACATTCTATTTTAAATTGTATGTTTCGATTTACGATGTTTGACTGAAATTATTTTAAAATTATTTTATATGAAAAAGGTGTAAAACCAAAAAGTAAAAATCACATATTTAAAAACTACATCAAAAGATTTACAAAACTAGTGGTGACAAGACTAAATTATTTTATTAAATGACTAACGAAAATAAAGAAAGATAATGAATAAAGTTTAACTATGTGAATAATAAATAAATAGTTTAATTTGGAACGGAAAAAATACAATTTATCTCATCGTCACATGTATTTCGCTCTTGTATATTTTATGGGACAAATTCTATGGTAAATCTAATGTATACCATGGACCTACATATTAGCTAATTATTTTTTGAGTAAATTCTATAATTGGTCCTTTATAACGGGGGGTTCCCTATTTAGTCCTCTATTATCAAATATTATCCAAGTAGTCCTTCTTTTATGGGTACCTTTCCGTAAATAGTCCTTTTTTTGATCTTCTATCATGTTGGTGTTAATTTGAAGGCTAAAAGTGTAATTTCACAATGATAATATATCTTTTTTGTCATACACAATTCCAAAGGCTGTTCCGTTTGCGTCGTTTGTAAATTACAGTCGCTTTTTATGACAACTATAGTCTATAAATGTGATCTTTCGTCAGAATTCTAGCCACGATCATAGTCATTATTTTTATGTTATCTGCTTAATTAATATCAGAACACGTCACTAGACATAATGTTGACGTCAAATTATACTTTTAGCCTTTAAATTAACACCAACACGGAAGAAGATCAAAAAAAGGACCATTTGTGGAAAGATATCCTTAAAAAAAAGACTACGGGGGTAATATTTGATAATAGAGAACTAAATATGGAAACTTCCTTATTATAAAGGACCAATTATGGAATTTACTCTTATTTTTTTACTACTTAGACAAGCATTTATTTATTTTTAAACAAACAAATTTTATATGAAAAAGTCCACAAAAATGATATGCACTCAAGATGTATCATAGAAACCTTCACTTTATGAATCATCTCGCCCTCATCAATTCAAAAAAAATTCTCCCACATTATTAAAAAAATAAAAACATGTACATATGTTTCTATTATTCAAAAAAATTATTTTGAAAAAGATTAAAATTAGAATCATGTCTTTCCTACATTAATTTCAAAAATATTATTAAAAAAAATAGCAATCCTATAATTTAAAAAGGAAATTTACAGAAACCGTAGGCAATTTTTTATTTATTTCTTTTTTTAAATACAAAATCATTCAAGCAAGCAAACATATTTTAGTCAATACAAAATGCATTATCGAAATAGTAAGAACTAAAAATTAAAAATTACACTCTGATTCTTGTCAATGTTGTAGTCAAGTCCGGATCTTATTCACTTCCACGGGATGAATCTTCACTGCATTGCTCCTTGCTTTACATGTTTTGTTTACACCCAGATCTTCCTTGTCACAAATTTTCTCTCTGGTTTCACATCTTGATGTTCCCTATCAACCTATCACAATCTTTTTTGCATAAAGTTGTGTCATTTTTCTTCTCTCATAATACCATTCAATAAAATTTCCATGTATGATTGCATAAATGAAAATTGATGCATCACATCCCCTCTCATTCAATTTTTTTAGTATGGTAGATTATTAGAATTGTAAAAAAGTATGATGTAATAAGTAGGATAAAAATTAGTTGGGATAGAAAAGTTTCAAATAGAAATGCGAATATATGATGTTATAAGTAGGACAAAAAATAAAATGTTAACATATCACGAGAGTTAATACTGTGATTTTTGTGAGCTAATTTAAATTTCAATGTGAACTATCATTTTGCTTATGATTCTAGCATTTTTAAAGGAAAAAAAAAAAGAAGCAACCGTCCATGGACTCGGTCCTAGCATTAAGTCAGTCTCCTCCCACATTCTTCCATGTACTTGACTCGGTCATAGCTAAGGTCTCCTCCTAGTTATCAGAGCATGCATACTAATACTAACACTGGGAACTAGAACTTATTAAATAGATAAAAAAACATTTTGTTAAATAAAACAAAAACAACAACAATAATAATGCACACCTTAGCCAAATGGGTCACTTGTTCATACCCCCTGCTGCTTCTTGTCTTCTTTGTGCCAATCCATGAGGCATTGCAGAGCGACATCGAATGCTTGAAATCAATCAAAGCTTCCTTGGAAGATCCTAAGGGTTTCCTAAGTAATTGGGACTTCACCAACAAAACGGAAGGGTATATTTGCAAGTTCACCGGTATTGATTGCTGGCACATTAATGAGAATAAAGTTCTCAATATCCGCTTCCCTTACATGGAACTTAAGGGACCATTTCCTCTGGGACTAGAAATGTGTTCCTTCTTAACAGGGTTGGATCTTTCAAACAACCAGATACATGGAACCATACCTTCTAATATATCAAAGGTCCTCAGCAAACTTACAACATTGGATCTATCCTCCAACAACTTGTCCGGAGAGATTCCTGAGAACATGGCAAGCTGTACATTCCTAAATGTTCTCAACCTAGAAAACAATCAGCTGACAGGCCAAATCCCACTTGAGCTTGGATTTTTGGGACGGATCAAGACTTTCCGTGTGGCAAATAACAGGTTGGCAGGGCCTGTTCCAAATTTTGGAGCCCTTACTACTGATGTTAGCTATGCTAATAACTCTGGGCTTTGCGGGGCTCCATCCTTAGAGAGGTGCAAATATCCTTCCACGGAGGATGACACCAGTCGTGACTCCTTCATTGGTGGCTTTTCAATTGGTTCGGCACTTTTCATGACACTGGCCTTGTATCTTGGCCTCTTTGGACTCCCCCATGCTGTAAGAACAAGAACAAGTTTGTTTAGACGAAAGAATGCAAGAGTGAACATCACAACAGTGGCTAATCAAGAGCAAGAAGGCATTGATACCAACCGCATGGTAAGAGCTACACATCATTGATCAAATTATTCTTTCACGCATTTTGGTTATGTACATAGCCTAACAGAAAGTTGTCTTTAAATCAGATTATGAAATTGGAAAAGTATGTCCCAAGAATGAGCTTCATGGAAATGGAAAGGGCAACAGACAATTTTAGTCATGAAAATGAAATTGGGTATGGATCTCTGGGGAAAGTGTATAAGGCATTGGTCCCTAACGGTTGGCTCCTTGCCATCAAAAGGCTTCACCAAACAGAGAACTTGGACGAAGAGTTTGCCTCTGAGATCATGACTTTAGGTAGACTGAGGCACCAAAACCTAGTGCCCCTTATTGGGTTTTGCTACCAAGGGAAAGAAAAGCTTCTGGTCTACAAGTACATGCTGAATGGTAGTCTGCACCACTGGCTACATTCAACAGAGGACATGGCGAAAGCCTTGTCTTGGCCCCAAAGGATGAAGATCGCGGTCGGTGTAGCTAAAGCCTTGTCGTGGCTTCATTATACTTGTCACTTGAATGTGGTGCACAATGGTTTATGCTCCAAATGCATACTGCTGGATCGCGACTTTGAGCCAAAAATATCAAAATTCTGGGAGGCGAGTGTCTTGAACTCCAACGGTGACACTACTACTTCAAGCTTGAGTGTTTCCGAGAGTGTTTTTGAGTGTCCAGACAACTTCAGCCCTTTCAGCAAAGATGTGTACTGTTTTGGAATTGTACTTCTGGAGCTTATAACCAGAAAGGAGGCATATGAACTGAGCTTCTCTACAAAGGTTATGTTTGGCAGAAACTCCACAACCAGTTCACTGGAAATAGATGGGGTGCTAAAACACACAGGATTTGATGATGTAATCTCACAGTTCCTGGAAATAGCCAAGAACTGTGTGAAATTCATGCCCAATCAAAGGCCAACAATGTATCAGGTCTACGAGGCAGTCTTATCAATAGAAAAAGCTGTTGGGAATTAAACACGCAACACACACAAATAATCTACGAGAAACGAGAGAAACGGAACACAAACGATAAATTCTTGTGTGTCGTTTGTGTTCCGTTTCTCTCTTGATTCTCGCAGATATTTGTGTGTGTTGCGTGCATAATCCCCAACAAGTGGTATCAGAGCCTGGTTGTTCAACACGAGAACACGAATAACGAGAAGCTGTCACCAGGGTTCTTGGAGTAAGAACCGTGTGCCATCTGAGAAGAGGAAGGAGCGTCCGTCCGTTTCGTTCGGATCTGTGATAGCCACTGCTAGGATCTGAACAGTCGCCGGTGTGAGGGCCGCGCCGGAGTGAGTCGCGCAGCAGGGGAGAGAGCCGCAGCCTTGGGGTTGCCTCGCTGCCGCTGTCGCGCAGCCTTGGTCTCCCGCCGACCGCCGCAGGCGCTGGGTAGGGCTTCGCGAGCAGCTGGTCGCGCCGCCCAGTACCCACCTTCTAAATCGCCGCCGCTGTCTGAGATCCGCCGCCGCCGGGTTGAGGAGCCGCCGTCGCCGCTGAATTGAGGAGCTGCCGCCGTAGGTCTGACCCGCGCACAGCTTCGTCGGAGAACACAGGACAGCAGCCGGTAGAGAGCAGCCGTCCTCCAGATTGCACACCGTCCAGAAGGAGCCGCCGCCGCCGGATCTGTTTGTAGCCCTACGAAACAACAAAGAAGAGGAAGAAAACGGGAGTGGTTTCTTTCCTTTTTTTAGTTGGGCCGTATTCAGCAGCCAAAGAAAGAAAAGAAAAAAAGTTGTGGGCCAATTTGTTTTTAAATTGGTCAGTCATTTTTCTTCTTTGGTGTTTTTGGGCTTAGTTTGGTTTGGCTAAATTAATTGGTGTGGTGGACCTGATTTTCTGACAAAATTACCAAGATCTGAAATTTTTGTTCCGGGTATCTCGTCCAGTCGTTTGAGATGGCAGAAGACGGGAAGTTCCGAATTGAGAAGTTCGATGGTACAGATTTCAGTTGGTGGAAGATGCAAATTGAAGATTTGCTGGTTCAAAAAGATTTGGACGTGGTTTTAGGTGACAAGCCAAAAAAGATGTCGGATGCAGATTGGGCAGGTTTGGATCGGAAAGCTATGTCCGTGATCCGTCTCTCATTTACCAAGAATGTTGCGTTCAACATTCTGAAGGAGAAGACAGCGAAGGGAATTATGGACACGCTGTCTAACATGTATGAGAAGCCATCTCCAGCGAACAAAGATTTTCTGATAAGAGAGCTGGTGAACACAAAAATGAAAGGAGGCACTTCAGTTACCGAGCATATCAACAAGTTGAATTCGATCTTAGCCAGACTATTGTCAGTGGGCATTAAGTTCGATGATGAAGTTCAAGCTTTACTACTGCTATCGTCTTTACCTGATAGTTGGTCCGGAACGGTTACAGCAGTTACCGGTTCAGTGGGACCCGATGGATTCACCTTTGATCAGATTCGAGATCTCGTTCTTGGCGAGGATGTCAGAAGAAAGAGTTC